TAAAAGGCAACACAACTAAATAATCTGAGTCAACCTATATTAACCTATTAAACCGACAACTTATGTGACAAGATTTGGATAATTCATAGAAAAAAATTTATGAAGTCTCATTTTCAATAGAACTAATGTTGAAGGTTAAAATTCGTCAGATTGATACATAACTCAACAAAAAATAAATAAATAGAAAATTATAAAATCCAATTCCTAAAATAATCAAATTTTAAATGATAAAATTAAAAAGAAAAGCCTAAATAAAAAAAGAACAAGAAGATTAGATTGTTTGAAGATTAAATTGAATAAAAAGAAATAAACAAAAAAAGCTAAAACAAAAATGCAAAACACTATTCTAATTAATAATGTTTTGTTGATGTAACGATAATAATTTAGTTATATTTTCTAGTTTTTTGTTAACTAAAAAAGAGTTGGAATAAGTAATTCACAAATCCGTGTTGAAATAAAAAAGTAAATTATCGTGATTACAAAATAAGGGATGCATTAGGATTTTTAGAAAAGTTATTTATTTTCTTTTTTTCTATTTAGTTTATAATTTTATTTTTTCATAGTTAGTTTAAGAATTTTATTGGTTTAAGACTTTTATTATTTTTCCTTTATTTTTGAGTTTTATAGTTTTTTAGGTTAATTTTTGTATTTTATATAAGTTGTAAGTCTCTTGGAAAGGTAAATTATTTTAAAACAAATATTCAATAATAAGATTGCAAGTTAGGGTTTCTACATGATCCCTTCTTTTGAGAATTATATGTTTTTTTTTATGTTTATTATCTTTTTTGTATTGTTTCCTTCCATATCAATTGGTGTTGAAGTCCAATGATCCCGAAACTTATTTTCTTCTTTGTACTGGATTAACATGGATGAAAGAGATAATAGAAAGACATGCTTATATACTAGAGGATGGGGAGGTTCCTCTTAAGAAAAGAGATATTCAAAAACCGGTGATGGAAAACATGCAACAACAAGTTGAAGAATTGAAAGGAGGTGTGTTAGGATATGGTGATAGAAAACATGCAGAGACAGATTGCAAAATCAACTCATTTATTAGCAGGGGTGAAAAGCCTAAGAGATCATGAAGAAAATGATTATAGATCCATATCTAATTTTGAGAATCATTTTAAAGCTTTGAGCAAAGAAAACAACTTATTAATCTAGATAAGAATGATCATATCTCTCTTGTGAATTGGAATCAAACATCAAATTTTGATGAGAAAGTTGAAGGTGATGTTAAACGATGTGTACCAAATTTTTCTAAGGAGGACTTTAAAATTTGTTGTTATCTAATTTTTTATCTATGTTTTTGATAAATTTTTAAAAAAAAACAAAAATAGAAAAAAAACAATGAAAACCCTAAAAAAATGCATTTTTAATATATTTGCATTGTTTTTAGCATTTTCAACGTCATCTTAGAAGAATTTAAATTTTCAAAGATATTTTGAACACATTCAATTTTTAACGTGTTAATTTTTCAATCATTGATTTTCCTTGTTAAGTCGACGTTGATATTATTCACTTTCAAAAATATAGAAAAATAATAAAAATTAAAATTGATAAAAAATAAAATAGTTGAGGGACCAATATTTTTTTAGGACCAACCCACTTTGCCTATAAATAGAGGTCATAACAGACATAAAAGAGGGAGGAGAAAATTTTGGGAGGTAAAATAAAAAACCTAAATCCACAAAAAAAACTCCTAGAAACCTAGACTCTTTCTCCCTCTCAGCCACCGTTTCTTTAAACAAAAAACAAAACCCTAAATCCTTTTTTCTTTTTTGTTAGCGGCTCCCCTTTTCAAGCCAATAAAGGTTGCCGCTAATCTTCTCTTCTCAGCTCCCTGGCCAAAACACACACGAGAGCCTCCAGTTTTAGCCCTCAGACCTTTCCCTCTCTTAATGGTCTCTCCCCACTATCTGACACTCATCTCTAAAACCAGAGTCATTTCCCTCTTTCAACCAGCTTAGAGCTCCTCCCTTTCTCTTTGAGAGAATAAAATCCCCTCACTCTCTTATCTCTATCGTTAGGTCTCTCCTTCATTCAACCCCTAGCAGCGACCGAACAGCAGCAGTCAACAACCTATTCATCTCTTTCAACCAGCAAGCCTAACCATCGTTACTACCAATAAGAGCGAAGACCATTAACACATATTGGCCTTCGCCACCCACTGACACAGGAGATCAACCATAAAATGCCATTTCTCCTTTCCCCATCGACCATAGTAGCAACTCAGTGCCACCGTCAACTCCAGTATTGCCGAGGCCATCACTAACAATCCAAGCACGACAGAACCCATAGAACCCGTTAACCATAAGCCAGACACCTTGACCTCAGAGTCGGCTGCCAGAAATATTAAAGAAGGCGAAGCCAAGAGAAAAAAATAAATCTTTGTAAAGAAGCATATCTAAAAACATCCCACTGTCTCTAAGTTCTTCCTCAAGTAGGGTGCGTTAGGGGTGCTAACACCTTGCCTAGTTACAGTCAGTTCCTTACTCTTGAATCTCTAATAAAGACTAGTTCATTTATGTTTCCTAGTAACTGTCAATCAAATACTAGGGTGATGACTCTCAAAATAAGAAAACAAACAAAAAATCATTATTGAACGCCGTACGAGGACGTGAGACAAAAATGATTAGATTAAAGTTAATGTTATTGTATTTTTGATAAAAATTATGAGATATGTTTTCAAATCTTCTACTAACGCTACAAGTGGTCCCATTTTTATGGAAGCTAACCATGTTGATATGATGTTTTAAGCAAAAAGGTCAGGCATGTAAATGCTGTAAACTGTAAATTCTTGATTGAACATTTACAAGATCAAGATAAAAACAAATTAAACTCGAGGAGTAGTTCTTTTCAATATAGAAAGACTAATATAGAAGGATTTTGTTTTTATTTTTATTTTTTTCTTGGTTATTTTTCCATATTCAGTTTATAATATTAAATATTATGATTAATGATTTTAATTTTTGTAATTTTTTTATGATTTTTATTGCTTTTCTTTATTTTCAAGTTTTCTATTTTGTTGAGGTTATTTTTTGAGTTTATTTAAAAAATTGTAAATCTTTTAGAGGGGTAGATTATTAAAAAATAAATATCCAATAATAAAATTATTAATTAGGGTTTGTGTGCAATCCATTCTTTTGAATTTTTTGTGTTTTTATACTTATTATCTTTATTATATTATTTCTATATTTGTCAATAAGTTAAAGTTATAAACACAAATAAAATAAAAAAAAGATTTTTATGGGATGCTAAATACCAAATTATTTTGAAAAAAAGGTTGTTCGAAATCATTCATATTTTTTAAATCAAAATTTAAAAAAAAAATTCCCCTTTTTTATAAAATAAAATTTCTATAATTTTGACAAAGCTTGCTGGTTTTGCATTTTTTAAAAAAAATTAAAAATAAATAAATTATTTTTTTTGTTTGAAGATAAAACAAAAACAATAAATAACATTAAAATAATGTTTGATTATCGTTTTGAAATAGAAAATATAAAAATAAAAGTCATGTTTTAATAATATATAAATTTATTTCAAAATTATTCTAAAAATTACTTATTTTATGTCCTTGTTTTTATTTATGTAATAAAATATGTTTTTATCTCTTTATATATATTTATTCTATTCAAGGATATTAACATGATGAAACAAAAATAAAATCAAACAACATCTAATAATTTAAGAGTTAAAAACTTAAAACTGAAAATTCTCAAAACTTCTAGGATGGCGCATGGACTTCCAAAGCAAAACCTAGTTTATCGTGGTCATATATTTTTTTTTTTCATGGACGCATTTAAGAATAAAAATAATTCTTTTTTAACAACTCTCCTAATCTCTTTCTTGTTATTTGAGGAAGGCCTCATTTTTGACACGAAATAAAACCATTTTAGATTTGTTGGAGCCACAGCCTATGAAGTCTCCATCTTTATAAATCTCTCTCCTCTCTCTCTTTCGATAACTCTCTAACTCTCTCTTCTCTTTTTGTGAGTTACAGTGATAGAAAATGGAGAAGAAACTAGTGCCTTGTTTGGTTTCATTTGTTTTGATATTGTGCAGCGTGTCTCATGTTAGATCAGATGCATCTGATCATCGTTACAAAGTTGGAGATGATGTCCCTCTCTACGTTAACAAGGTTGGGCCTTTTCACAATCCCAGGTAATCCAATTCTCGATCTTTCTTGCTGTTTTGATTAGGTTAAGGTTATTGGTTTTGTGGGGTGTCTTCAAGTTTGTGACTTTTGATGATTTGGGACGTTGGGGTATGTGGGATATGGATTAGAAATGGAATTGTGTAGTTGGGTTTTGGAGAATTTGATTTTAGCATTATTGTGCCAGATTCTGTAGAACCCTTTTTTTTCTTTTTTGGTTTATGGATTGGTTTCTTCAATTGTTGTGGATCTGAGCTTATGGGAAGTGGATCTTATGATTTGGTTTCCTAAAAAGGAAGATCAAAGATTGGAACTTGGAGTTTAACATGAAAATGCTGTTGATGTCACTTAGTTGCTAATTAAGCTGGAAACTTAGCATAGCTTAATGGTTGTACAAGGAGCTGGTCTAGTTGATCCCTGGGGAGATAGTTTAGGAAATGCTTAATGGGATTTTGGAATGCAAGCTTTTGGATAGTAACATTTGCAAGTAAGTAGAGTCTGTTAGTTAAAGCCCAGAATAATGTCCAGTCACCAGGTGTTGATTTCTGTTTCTGGTTGTTTCTTGTGAGCTGGAAAAGTTCAAGTATTGGGTTTTCCTTTGTTATTGCTGTTTGAGATCTTTAATCAGTAGTTGGAACTCTTTTTCTGTAATCGTACATGAAATTATGCCGGAACTTAATTGATATTTACTATGGTCATATCTAGACTTTTGGTTGGTTGTCATATTGAGATTTTAACTGTTCAACTGTGAAAATTTTCTTTAGTATTTTTTTTATTCATAATTTTTTGATGTTGTTTCTTTCTTGTTCATTCTGTCAGTGAAACATACCGCTACTTTGATCTGCCTTTCTGCTCATCAGGTCTGCATCAATTCACATTGCTCCCACTATAAAGCTTTGTTTTATTGTGGAAGTTTGCTGATGATGTTTATTACAGGTCCCACAAAGGACAAGAAGGAAGCCCTTGGTGAAGTGTTGAATGGAGATCGTTTAGTCACTGCCCCATACAAACTCGACTTTTTAAATGACAAGGATTCTGAAGTTGCTTGCAAAAACACGCTGACAAAGGAACAAGTTGCTCAGTTCCGAGAAGCAGTTTCCAAGGACTACTACTTCCAAATGTATTATGATGACTTGCCCATTTGGGGTTTCTTAGGGAAAGTTGACAAGGAAGGCAAGAATGACCCTAGTGAATACAAATATTACCTGTTTAAGCATCTTCACTTTACCATCTTTTACAACAAGGATCGTGTCATTGAGATCTCTGCGCAATCTGATCTGAACAATGTTGTGGACCTTACTGAAGATAAAGAAGTCAATGTGGAGTTCATGTATTCAGTTAAATGGAAGGAAACAGATATAACATTTGAGAAAAGGATGGACAAGTATTCACAATCTTCTTCACTTCCTCATCACTTGGAAATTCATTGGTTCTCAATTATTAACTCGTGTGTGACAGTTCTCCTCTTGACTGGTTTTCTTGCCACAATTCTCATGCGAGTCCTGAAGAATGATTTTGTCAAGTGAGAAGAACATTTCAATGAATATGTTATTAAAACATGTCTGCTTATGTTGTTTAAACTGTCATTTTCTTATCTTTTGATCTTCCCATTTGTAATAGATATGCTCATGATGAGGAGTCAGCTGAAGACCAAGAAGAGACTGGGTGGAAGTACATCCATGGTGATGTATTTAGATATCCAAAGTATAAGTCTTTGCTTGCAGCAGCAGTTGGCTCTGGCACCCAGCTGTTTACCCTGTAAGTTCAACTTCAAAGCTGTGCTTTTGTTGGTTTTGTTTCAAATCCATTTTTTAAAATTATTCTGTTGATTTGCAGTTTGCTAACTTTTCGTACATATTGGCAGTACAATTTTCATTTTCGTGCTTGCTCTAGTTGGTGTTTTTTATCCTTACAATCGTGGAGCTCTATTTACTGCACTGGTTGTCATATATGCTTTGACAGCTGGGATTGCAGGCTACACTGCAGCCTCTTTCTTTTGCCAACTGGAAGGAAAAAATTGGGTAACTTCTTAAGAATTCCTTTTTCATTTTGCCTTTTGCACTTATCATTGTCATTTTTTGGTGTGTTCTAGACAATTGTTGTTACTGTGTGTCTAAGGATATTGTAGTTGGTATCAAATTTGGTAAATGGTATATAGGAATTCTCAGTGTTTCTTTGGAATGTGTTTTGCTTTAAGATAAATGCTTGGTGAAAATTGACTTTGTCAGAATCAATTTGGTTTTGCTATAAACACTTTGTGGAAATGGGCCAAAACATGGAAATGGGGATCAAAACTACCTTGTGTTTGGATAATGTTTTCCTCTCATATAATAGCTGAACTAATTGGGATGTGAAAGAGAAGCTTTTCAAGAGAAAACAGTGAAAGAAAACAATGTGCTTGAAAGTTGGTGTACTGCTTCCTGAAGGCTTGCGCTACACTTGAGAAGCTAACCTGAGAAGACGATAAATTAGAGCTTAACAGTTCACAGTTGCTTCTAATAAATTTACATACATTGAAACTAAGTAATTGTAGAATTGGATACGAGTGCGATTGACTATTTTGTGCTGGTTGTGGCTTTCTGAAAATTAGCATGGTTTGCATTCATTAGTATTATGATAGTGACGTTAATTGATCATTATTAGAATGATGTAATCACTTTTCAGCAGCATTGTTTGAATCCATGATGTCTCATGCTCTATCATTGCAGAACTTCTAGCTACACTCTAGAAACTACCATTCAACTTTGAGACATGCTAGGCTAAGAAGTTCTGAAATTCTGGTGTTGCAGGTCAGGAACCTGTTGCTAACTGGAGCCCTGTTTTGTGGTCCTCTGTTTCTCACCTTTTGCTTTCTTAATACCGTTGCAATTGCATATAGTGCCACTGCAGCATTGCCATTTGGAACAATAGTGGTGATATTTCTTATATGGGCTCTGGTAACAACACCATTGCTGGTACTGGGTGGGATTGCAGGGAAGAATAGCAAGGCTGAGTTTCAGGCTCCTGTCCGCACCACTAAATATCCCAGAGAGATTCCTCAGTTGCCTTGGTATCGGAAAACACTTCCTCAGATGGCCATGGCAGGATTCTTGCCTTTCAGTGCAATCTATATTGAACTTTACTACATATTTGCCAGTGTTTGGGGTCACAGGATCTACACCATATACAGCATCTTGTTCATTGTCTTCATCATTCTGTTGATTGTCACTGCTTTTATAACAGTGGCGTTGACATATTTCCAACTTGCTGCTGAAGACCATGAGTGGTGGTGGAGGTATGTTTT